CCTACACAAAAATTTTTATTTTCCTACCACATTGGACAAATTAATGTTTATTATCTTTAGATTAACATTACTAAATAGACTTTTTAATCTCAATTGCAATTTTGTGAAAATACTTTCTTGGTACTTTATACGGTTCTTCCTGTCTTTATATTTATCTGGTCATTTTCCATTTTCACGATCTTTGCTTTCATTTGGTCTGCCTCTATACTGTTATCTCATGATTATCTGAGTCTTCTGCCAATTTCTTCCTAAAAAATCCCTTCTGCTCTGAAACCTTTACTAAAGACAAATACCTTAGTAATTATTTAAAATTCTTATTTTAATGTCTTTATATTTATTTGGACTAGATATGCTTCAACATTATTTACGGCATTTCAGTTTACAGAGGAACCTTGATAGGTGGGTTTTCTCTTTCACCATTAACATTCCTGTGAGATACATCTGATTGTTCTTATCCCCCTCAACTACCTGCCTCCCAAGTGATCATGGGAAGAATTTGTGAGTGTAGATAATATTGTTCTTTCTTCAAAATAGACCCCATATGGTTAATACTTTATAACTTAGGACTCTTAAAAAAACCCAACAATAACACAAGAGTTAAATTGGTAAAAGAATGACTGAAAATAAATTCTAATGGCTGGGCATGGGTGGCTCATGCCTGTAATCCCAGCACTTTGGGAGGCTGAGTAGGGCAAATCTTTTGAGCCCAAGGAGTTCCAGACCAGTCTGGGCAACATGGCAAAACCCTGTCTCTACAAAAAAAAAAAAAAACTACAAAAATTACCCAAGCATGGTGGCACACGCCTATGGTCCCGGCTCCTTGGAAGGCTGAGGTATGAAAATCACTTGAGCCTGAGAGGCGGAGGTTGCAGGTTGCAGTGAGCTGAGATCACAGTACTGCACTCTAACCTGGGTGACAGAGCCAGACCCTGACCCCCGCCTTTCTCTCTTTCTCTCTCTGTCTCTGTCACACACACACACACACACACACACACAAAATAATAATTTTAAAAAAAGGAAAACAGAAAAGAAATTCTAACTTTTACCACACATGTTGATATGATCACAGATGAGGCCTTGATTTGTATTTCATTACAGCTTTTTTTCTTAAGAAAGTTCTCTTAATGACCAGCTTGCATGTAGTGTTTGTAGATTCTCTAATCCAGTGTTCACAAACTTTAATGTGCAGCACAATCACCTGCAGGGCTTGCTGAATACAGGTGCTGGGTCCCCACCCTCCAAGTGTCTGATTCAGTTTATCTGCAGTGGGGACTGATCATTTGCATTTCTGACAAATTCCCAGGTGATATTACATTGCTTAAATGTGGTCCAGACACCACATTTTGTGAACTCATGGTCTAAAGAATACTGTTTAACTTCCATTCTGTACCACATATCTGTTGTTGTCTAACTTAGACCATTTTGATTTGGATACTGTACTAAGGCATAACATATTATATTTTCTTCAGCATTATTCCCTTCTCAATTAAAAAATAATAATTGGTGATATCACTGTTCTCATCCCCTTAGATATCTTTGTTTTACTACTCCCATGCCTCAACATATACACACAATTAATTCAGACTTCTAAATCATGCTGAATCTATGATGATAGTGATGACAACAGCAAAAACAATAATAACAGCTAGTGTTTATAGAACATTTATTCTGTGTTAGGCACTGTTTTGAGGATTTTATTTGAATTAATATAACGCTCAATAAAATAGCTGATGAAAGTAACAGGCACAGAAAGGTTCTTACAGCTAGGAAAAAAATGAAAGAAATGGGAATCTAACCTAAGTTTTCTGGTTTCAGAGCCCTTACCCTTCATTCCTATACACTTAAACTCCTCACTACTGTGCTGCCATATTATGCTGCCTCTGTAGTATGTCTGAAATGACTTTCTTACTTTGTTTTCTGTAGCCATAGCCCTCACTACTCCATGTAGTAACAAACTTAATAGGTGAGCTATATCACTATATCCAAGCACTGTGCTTAAATACTTACACATGTTTTGAATTAGTTAAGCTCATAACAATACTATGACTTTATGAGGAAACTGAGTCTTGGTAAGGCTACATAACTTGTCCAATTTCTTACTACTAATAGGTGCTGGAATCAAGACTTAGATTTTTCAGATCACTCTACTTATCCTGGAAGCCAGTGTGCATCCTTTGGCTCAACCTCTGCTGGATTCTGTAACTCAAGTCATTGAGGGCATAAGAACCGATGTTCCCAGGGTCATTTCCAGTCACTTCTTTGAGCACTAGTTTCTCTTATCTCTTACATCACAATAAAATGCGAGGTTTGGGCTTCAGATTGTTCCTACCCATCTATCTCATCTTAATCACTTTCTTTCTTTTAAGTATCAGAGAAAGCCTTTTAATACAGAATTCTCTTATATTCATCTTATGTACCATTTTTACAATGAAGCATATTAAAATTTCAGGCTTCCAGGTAAAATATTGTGGCCCATCTTCCAACTTGCCCTTTTATGTTCTCCACCAAGCAATATTATGACTATTGTACAACTTGTCATATCTGTGATCGTGCCTCCTGTGTTTGACTGACTTACAAATAACACCAGTTTTCTATGACTTGGATGAGAACACCATTATCATCTACCTTATAAAATAATTTAACTTTATCATTAGACATGCACAGGACCCCATGGAAGAGGGAAGAGGTTAAGAGTAGATAGAAGAATAAATGTCTCCTGTAAAATATAAAGATAACCTCAGTTGGAATTTCCTGAGAAGGGAAAATGAAGAAGTTTGTATATATTGAGCTTCATAGATCTAAAATAACTCTCTTTGCTGGAGAATTGTATATTTTAGTAAGAGGTTTTATTTTGTTTTCCTCTACCAGATCTATTTAATTTCTGATTAACACCATATAGTCCATACTCTCTTCACAGTCTTCAGCTGTTTCCTTCTTTCTGTATAATCTCTATAACTCTGATCTTTTCCCCTGACTTCATCTTATAATTCTTGTACTCTCCTCATACCTCCCTTAAGTTCTTTAAGTTCTCCTGCCATCCTTCAATTTTTTTTTACATTTCTACCCTAAGTTTCTGCTCTGTCTACTAGCCCTAAATTTCATTATAAAAAGAAAGTTTTTAAGATTTTAAGATCTATAGAGTCCCTTGAGCAGGGACCTGTGCTGTCTTTGTCAGAACTCAGCAGGTAAAACAGTTATTCTGATGCCATGACAATGCTTTAATAAAATTCTAGTAAAGGACTTAAGAGCTTTAAGGATTAAATTACTATATAATCATTTTTCCTATACTAAGCAGTATTGAATAAATAAACTGTTTTATTATTTTTAAGTCTGTTGGTGAAATAATAATGAAAGAGATTCTAATATTGGCTATTAGTAGCCTGCATATATATAATCACTTGAGATTTTTATTTGTGATAATGATTTTTAAAAAACAGGCTCAAGTCTCACACTCATAAAAGAGTTGAAAGTTCTGCTATTCCAAAGCTTACTTTTGACAGAATCATACTCTTAGGAGTCTTAATGTTATGCCTTTGTTGCCATGGCGACAGTAACAGGCTTTTATTATTAATTTCTAACACACATTTAAAATATACATATGCTGAGGTGAAAAGTTCGACTTAGTTGTCTGTTGGTTTCGAGTATTGATACATTTTGAAAATAATTTCTATATTCTTTTAATACTTGATTTTTATCCCTCAAAGAAAATGAAAGAGATTTCTGACCATTGTGATTACAGAGTTGTATATTACTTTTTACAGGGTCTTTTAGGAATAACGTAGAATCTCTTATAGGTCAGTAATGGATGAGGATTTTGAAAAACATGGAGACATTTTTGAAAAAGTCACGTGATCTTAGACACTCGCATGCCTTGGCCACCTATGGTTATGACACTAATATATAATACAAAGAAATCAATTTCAGATTCAACTAATACTTTTGTGACAGTGCTGTGCTAAGCCCTTTCACCTACTATAGTTTATTTAATAGAACTCAGTTTGAAAGCACCCAAGCAATCCTTATATTGTTAACTTTTAAAATATTTATCTGATTATTGGAATGTATGTCAATAGAGTTTCTGAGTTTTCCCCTAAAAATTAGTAAATAAAATGTATACATACTTATAGTAAGTAAAACTTTCAACTCAGGAGTTATACTTTATTCCTTACAAGAATGAATGCATTCCATGGCATGAACTATTACTATTCCATAGAGCTCATGATTACATTGGTAGCTAGATCACATCTCTTCAGCTTCTATTGTCAAACTTGCATGGCCTAGTTAATATTTTAGTCCACCAACAGTTTTGACTTCTTATATTAATGGCTGAGAAGTAAGGTAATTGATTTTCTTGTTAAGCTCTGTAGATTAGGCCTGGTGGCTTATATTTAATCCTTCTTCTGGTGTTTATCATGACCGAGTATTAGAGTAGTTATTTCTGGATAACAAAAACCTTTTGATTGCAATTATTATAAACAGAACTTTAAAACGTAGTCCTGTGCTTTCCTTAGTTAATATCTGTATTTAATGGCAAAAGCAGCCAAGGCAAGAAAGCTCTTTGCTTTGTGAAGGGAGAGAAAATAACTAAAGGTAACAATCACAATTTATGCTAATAGTTTTGAATATTAGATTTTAGCTTTTCCAGTTTTCAGTGACTTTTAACAAGGAGACCCATCTCCTCTATGAAGAATGCAGTTAGTTTTTTTTCTGGCTCAAAAAATAGGGTAACCTGATCTGAGTCTGACAGAGTGTGTCATTCATTTAAGTGCTTCCATCTGTTGCCTGCTGTTCCCCTTACTCATGACCCCTCTATGTTTCTCTCTTTCCCTTTTTCCTTCTCTGTCCCTGTTTCTCTTTCCTTTTTCTCTCTCCCTTCCTTTCTCTTTCTTTCTTTCTTTCTTGCTCTTGCTCTCTCTCTCTCTCTCTCTCTCTCTCTCTCTCTCTCTCTCTCTCTCTCTCTCTCTCTCTCTGTTGCTTGTTCTCTCTCTTTTTGTCCGTAGCCCCTCTGAGGAAGGCAAAGTTTGTTGAGAGCCCACGAATTCCAGAATCCGAGCTTGGCTCACCAACCCTCACTTCAGCTCAGAAACTGGACGTGGATGCATACTGTCCTGGTAAGCATGCATGCTAAGTGTCTGCTTTGAAAGAGGGAGAATTGGATCAGGCCCATCCAGCAGAGCAGTATTTTGCATGTATACTACTCATAAAAACATGTTACTTCTTTTGCAACTGATTGCATATTCTTCTTAATAGAACATAGTTTTTACTGAATGCCCCATTTTGACTTTGATACAATAATGAGAGTATTGAAAATAATTTCAAAGGTAATTTTCGAAAGAATTAAGATAATGTTGGTAGATAAGTAGTTTTAGGTAAGTAGGATTACTTTTATGATTTGAGATACTTGAAGAAATTTTGCTGTGGCCATGTGCAAATAGGAATGTTGAAGATATGAGTAAGAATATTCATTCAACACTAGACACAAAAGTGTTGTTTTGCATACAGCCTTTATGTCTAATTCCTATTGGATTTTTGGATACTTATAGAAAATACTTGTGATGTTGGAAACACTAAACTTGAATTAAAAAAGAAATATTACAGGTTTCCAACGTCTTTTGGATACAGATACTCACTTTTAGAAATACCTCTTGTGAATGGCCTGTAAACACATGTGGGAGTTCACTAAAACCCTTCTTGTGTGGGAGCCAAACTGAGAAAGACTCATTATCAATGCCTAGATTCTTTCAAACTTAGATGAGTTGCCTGGCAACATCCTTTACACTTTCTCTACAGTGAGTCTATAGAGCTGTGTCAGAAATGTTCACAGCTCTAGCTGAGTATACAGATTATAGCATTAGTAAAGGACCTTGGGAGATTTGGTTTTAGGTCTTTTGTTTATTCCTGCTCATTAAAGTTGATGTTAAATCACAGTGAATACAGCTACTACATATTTACAGCATGAGGGGTCAGCAGAGTAAAATAATTCTTAGTTCCGGGGAAGGTCTCAGTAGCTGTGATCTGAAATGTCAGTATAATATACCTTCAAAGCCAGAGAAGACATGGTAAAACAAAAAACAAAACAGTAGAAGAAAACTTGGGCCAAACCTCATAAAATGAGAGACAGTTGATTTTATGAATCAGTTTTGAATATTGAAAGACCTTGGTTTTGCTTTTCTTCTGGGTATTGAACCCCGGGCTTCATCTACTCTTACAGATAATCATTCTTTTCTAAATCAATCACAGTTTTGTATTAGGAACCAGCTTTTCTGTTTCCAAAAGGAAGAAAATAACTCTTTAAATGGTCCTGCAGCACAGGATTAGAAGAATCACGTTTTGAGATACTGTCACACTTCTTGGGCAATGGAATATTATGCTTTGCATGTCTTCATGCAAATTTTAGTATTAAACGTAAAATATATAAGTGTGCTAATTTTCTAACCCTTTCTTGAGTTTTAGAAGGAAAACCCTATCAGAGGCCTTTTCTTTTCCAGATTTGCAAGTGAGAATGACTGTCATGGGGGCCTAATCTTTCACTTCCTGATTGCCCATCTGACATCCTTAATCTAATCTAGCTAAAGTCTTATTTAGGTGATTGTTTATGAATGTTTTTCACAGGCACGAATTCGTTGTTGAATTAGGATTGAACCAAACTAAAGCTTGGTTATGATTTTTAGAAAGCAAGAAAGAAACTAAAACATGGTGTCAAAGTGCTGCTAAAACATAACCCAGTCCTTTCTTATCTGAAATGATCTTAAAGCATAGAAACCTTATAGTGATTTGCTCTTTTTAATCAACTTATTAGATGCTCTGAAAATTAGTTTCTACCACGATAAGAATGGTAACCTGAGGGTTAAAGCTGTTTTCTCTACATAGTACCAAAAATTAACAATAGCCAAATGAATTGATGAGTATACTCATAAAACAAACACATTTCACATTTGTATGCAAATTTTAGTATTATAAAGTGAAATAGTACTAAATTTTTGAATTTCTTTTACATAGGATTTACTACACCACTGATTATATTTTATTGTACATTGGTGCAGAGTAATACAGTTAAGGCTACTAGTGTCCTGATACCTTCCTATCTGCCTGCTTTACTCATTATTACTGGAAAATTTAGGAAAATATTATGTTTCATAGAGGCAACAATCATAAACTGAAGGTTAGAGCAGTGGTTTTCAAAGTTTAACTTACTTCAGAATTACCTGGAGGATTTGTCCAAATGCAGATTGGTGGGCCCCCAGACTTTTTTACTCAGTAGGTCTGGAGTGGGTCAAGAATTTGCATTTCTAACAAAATCTCAGATCATGCTGAAGCTGTTGTTTGAGATTCCATGCTTTGAGAACCAATTGGGTTACAGGCTGCTGCAGGCTACTCACTGTACAGTCATTGTTCAGTGCTTCAGTGATGCTGAAAGTCTGTGGGGTTCCTTCCACCACTATTGATATCTAGAGAGTAACCGGCAATGTTGTTTCTATGTTATCTAAACTAAAACCTTTTGGTACCTGTATTTTAGGTTGGAAGAATAAAGCTTTTGTGCATGAGAAATGGACTTACGTATTTTTCTTGGTATGTCTTTTTGTACCTGACATCCGTGTACCCATGTCTAACTACTCTTTGTTGTCCTACATGTAAAAGGAAATTGTTGATCAAACCAAATCAATCACTGATGGTTAGTCTAAAAGGATAGGGAAAGCTACTCTGGAGTATAGCTGTGGAGCTGAAATATTAAATTGAGTGATTCATTATATAGCGTTAGTTTCTACAATATCTAATTAAAGTTTTACTATTCCTTGAGTTATATTTGTTGTATGCAAAAATGTGAGAAAAATACAAGCAAACTCTATGTTTTGGTCCTGCAGTACAACTGTGGAGATGATTGATGGTGTTAAGTAAACTACCAGAATTAAGGAGATGTTCCAGGAATTGTGTTTGTTAATTGTCTCACAGTGGGGGAACTAAGATCTACCGATTTGTCTAGGGTCACAAGCAGGATTTATTGTTCAACTCTTGAAGTGGACACAATATAGTCCAAAAATATATTGCCCTCTAATCCTGTTACTGTGTAAATTCCATGAGCATTCCTTACTGCCCTTAGATTTAAAAGCAGAAAATTAAGTATGAGATAGACTCATATTCTATTTTTATGAAAAAGAGTAACCATTAGTGATTTCAATAAATCAATTTCCAAAATAAGAGAATAGATTCATCCTACATTCTATCACTTTTCTGTCTACAGTATTACTATTAGGTGTGTGATTTGGGGCTGTAAAAATGGAGATGATAATTTTAAATCAGTCTAAAATATATAAAGCACTTAGAAGAATGCTTGGCTCATAGTCAGGGCTCATAAATGTTAGATGATCTTATTATTTTTGTAGTGATGATCCTGAGGTATAAGACAAGATCTTAATCAGAAAAAATATTAAAGGTTTAGGGTCATTTTTAGTTAAATGAATCTTACTGCACTTCAATTCTGATTTTTCTCTGATTAGTCTGCAGTCTGGAGCACATCACTTAACTTTTCCATGACTCAGTCTCCTGTCACAGCAACATTATGTATAGCATGACATGATTTCGATAATTTATGTTTTTAAACATAATTATGTTTATATATAGATAAACATAATTCTATTTTAAAAATTATGTTTTTATATAGATACATGAATATACATTCATAGGAAAAAATTTCTAGAAGAATACACCAAACCATACCACTGGTTGCCTAAGGAGAGGAGACTTGGAATTGTTTGAAAGTTAGAGTAGGATTGGTGAGATAATGTTAGTTTAGCAGAGGTTGGTGGCATTACAGGTAGTTTTAATCTTTTTTGGGCAGCATGTATTAGTGAATAAGAACTTATTTTCTGGCATTAGATCTAGGTTTAAATTTTTTCTCTTTCACCTACTAGCTATGTGACTGATAAAAATACACCTATCTTAAAAAAAAAAAGACCTATCATCTCATAGGATTGTTAAGTGAAACAGAGTTTAAGTGAAATAATGTATATGCCACATGCATAGCTCAGGCAAAATAAATAAGAGAGACTAGGACCCTTTCTGTTACTCATCATCATCATCTTTTCTGCATTTTCTAAAATTTTCACAATGAACTTCTATTGAAAATTTTCGGTAATCAAATGACACTAAATCATGGTGATATTCTTTGTTTTTTTACACATTATAATATAAAATTTCAAGTATAAAAGTGACCTTTGACACAGATGGCAGGCCACGTTGACAGTTTTATAGAACTTCTGACTACATGTGCATGAAAGGTTAAGGGCCAAAGCCCAGACCAGTCTTGAAATAAGCAGTCTTTTATCAACACCAAATACATTCAGAGGAATTTGAGATAATCTTTTTATATGGATTCTTTTAAATCTCTTAAAAAAGGTAGTGTCTTCCAAAGGACAGTGTTATTTAAGGTGACAACAAAATTAGCATATATTTAAAACTCAGCGAAAACAGTTTGATTATAGTTAGTACATATTCATATTTATATGTATTCTGCACTTGTAAAATTTTTGTTCATTTGGATTTTTCATCTGTATTATACATTCTGTAGTATAAGTACAAGCCATTGTAAACAAATAAAATGTTTTATATAAAGTGAGTAGTTCCTTGAAACATCTTTTCCCAGCTCCTGTATGGTCATTTCCATTACAATCAAAGGATTTTTTTTTTTTCATTTTATTTCTTCCATTTAAAAAACTTCCAAGAACATCATCAAATGTTATCTTTATCCTAAATAATTAAACATGCTTCATTTGGTTTTGCTACAAACTTTGTGCTTGTATATAAAATCTTCTGAATGATTTTACGTTGTCCTATATGTACCAAGAGCCTTTTCCTCCTATTTCAGACCTTTTATTATATTGTGCTTGTGTTCTATTTTGTTGGAAATACAGTAAGTGTGAAATAGAATTGTTAACCCAAGTTAAATTGGTGAGCTTTGGGGAGAGTCTGAGCCCTTTAAAAGTATAAATAAAAGCTTGCTACATGTACATATGTACTATTCCCAAATACGAGTTCTCAAAACAGTTGGTAACCTCCCTTGCACCAAGGAAAAAGAAAGAAGAAATGCTATTGTAAAGGTTGAAATGAAAAAAAA